TTCCTGCTGCTTGCTTGCACTTGCTCTGGTGTGCACTTGCACTCTAAGCAGGTAATGGGCTGACCAAATGTAATTCACAAACTCAAATCAGCAAAGTGTCGGCTGGGGAGACAGGGAAGCAAAACCTTTCTCTTTCTGCAAAGCGTTAGATCAGTTTAGTCATTTGCGTGTAACTTCATCCTGAATAACCTACCACAGTTAGCGTTACTCTTGCTCAGATGGTATGGTCTACCCCATGTGCTGTAATTAGTTTGACACTTCCTTTTTGTGCTCTAATAGGTACTTGATGGCAAGGAAGATCTTGAGAAGCAGCATCGAGACAGCATTAAACAACTGAACAGTGTTGTAGAGCGACAAGAAAAGGATCTTGGTAAACTTCAGGCAGAGGTGGAAGATCTTGAAGAGCGGAACAGAAGTGTCCAGGCAGCACTTGATAGTGCATACAAGTAAGCAAATATTTGTGTGCCTGTCTTCAAGCGTACATTCAGCTTTTGCTTCGTTTCTATTCCTTGTGCTGTGCTTGCGAGATGTTAAAATGATACACGATCAAGAAGTTATTCACAAAGTCATTATTGGTATTGTATAAACTGTAAGAAGCACTGCATTCTTTTCTCCCCAGGGAACTTGCAGATCTTCATAAAGCTAATGCTACAAAGGACAGTGAGGCACAGGAAGCAGCCCTAAGTCGGGAAATGAAGGCAAAAGAAGAACTTGGTTTAGCTTTGGAAAAGGCCCAGGATGAGGCACGGCAACAACAAGAAGCTTTAGCAATTCAGGTAGGTCTTAAATGTGGTGAATAAAGCTTTCTGTTTGAACAGATGAGTGTGCTTCGATGGTGTGTCCATCTGCCTTAATAAGCCAAATAAAATATAAGATGGAGCTTGTTTTTGTGTAGTTAGCAATACCCTATAGAATTAATTTTTTTTCCCTGTGAATCAATCCATTTTCTAGTGGTAGTTGTGCTAAGCATTAAAACTTTATCTTTAATTTAAAAGTATCTTTTAAATTTTACTTGTCTAAATAAAATGACTCTGCCAGGCTGTGCGTTAAGTTAGTATTGTTCTTGTCCTGATGCAGAAGTTCAAGAAGTTAACTTGGATGGTATTGTCCCGTGATGGATAAATTAGTGGAACACTGTGCGTGCAAAACTCAATCAAGCCTTTAACTTGTAGACAGGTCTGTCCTGTCTAACTGGTTACAAATGGTATAGGACTGTAGCAAAGAATAGATGGTACTATAATTTTAGGCAAGAGATAAGTGTCAATCTGTCTTGTTTATTTAGGTGGCAGACCTGAGGCTAGCGCTGCAGCGTGCAGAACAGCAGGCGGCAAGAAGGGAAGACTATTTACGTCAGGAAATCGGTGAACTACAACAGGTACTGTAGCAAATAGACGGTACCATCTCATATCTGTAAGGAGAGTGTCTAAAAACTGATTATAAAATGCTAGCCTGACTTTAATAGTCTAAAGGATAAGGTTTTTTTCTACTGGTTACCTTTGGAATATGTCCCATGTGGAAGAACAATAAAATTGAAAGCAAAATCAGAATTTTCATGACACTTTTAAAACTTAATGCTATCCTTTTAGCATGAGACAAAGTATAGTCATTAAGATTGTGATCATCCTGTAAAATTTCTTTGTTTTGAATGTCTCATTAGCTTTTAGCCTTTCTTGATCCTAGAGTCCAGAGAATAGGTTGTTGGCAAAATGCTTCACCTGGGTCCGGAGGGAAAAGTCAGCTGAATAACAGAACATGTTAGACCACAGAAGGGTTTGTCTGGGGTTGGAAATGAAGGTGATAATACTTGAATGTTGTGTAGAGAGTTTAAAAAAGGAGGGAAGTCACCTAGCTCAGGGACATTATTCATGTTTTGTTTGAATCTTTAGTAGACTGTCAGGTATGAACTGATAACTTGCAAAGTCAGGTTTTTTTTAATCAATCTGTGAAACTTAAGGTGTCGGTGCTCAACCATGATATCAGATAAATTGCCCTCCTGCTCCTGAAATGTAACTTTTTGATCTGTTGTTCTATCATTGTATCTAAAAATGTTGCACTTACGTTTTGGGATTTTGTACTTTACTGCCAGTTTGAACACACAGATTTTTAAAATGTTAAGTGAATGATATGTAATTGACTGAATTCTGTGATAACATTTTAATCCATAGTACAATTTCAAAGTTTAATTATATTTAATTTATGATTTCAGAGACTTCAAGAAGCAGAGAGTCGGAATCAAGAACTGAGTCAAAGTGTTACATCTGCTACACGGCCGCTTCTCCGGCAGATAGAAAATTTGCAAGCCACACTGGGAGCTCAAACCTCCTCATGGGAAAAATTGGAAAAGAACCTTTCTGACAGACTTGGTAAGGTTTGTTTTTTTTTTAGCTTTTACTGAACTGAGAGACTCTTGATTTAAGATGTGAGATAGTGGTAGGTAAATTAAGAGCCTGATATTTGCCCAAAGTATACAGCTGGGGGTCAACAAAGGTGGGCCCAAATGCTTTCCCGTAACCATTGTATGTTGGATATTCTGCCAAAATTCTTGAATAGGTAATTCACTGATTCTCTTTAGAACACAAAGCAGAACTTAATATTGTAGGTAATGAGACATACTGCTTGATACAGTAGCAATCTATTATTTGAAATGAATAAAAAGATAACTAAAAGGTGGAGCTAAAGAAGGTAGGTTTTCTCTGGAGGTTCTCTGTTGTGATATATAGCGTTCTAAGAGTATGATATGAAGTCTCCTCGTTCTGCATTGCTGTGTACCTCTCACTGTATGGTGGGAAATATTTAATTTCTTTTGCACCAGAAAACAGAACTTTTTTTCATAAAAACACCCACCCATCCACCCACACCAATTGCATCTGACATAGCTGACAAAAATGGCCTGAATTTCGTTTTGATGCATGAATAATTGACCCAAGTTATAGATGTCTGGTCAAAAAGTTAAACTCTATATTTTTCTTTACTTGATTTTAGGTGAGTCTCAAGCCCTTCTGGCAGCAGCTGCTGAGAGAGAACGGGCTGCTACAGAAGAACTTCTTTCTAATAAAGTTCAGGTGTCTTCTACTGAATCTCAAAATAGTCTTTTAAGGCAAGAAAACGCTCGTCTTCAGGCTCAACTAGAAGCAGAGAGAACCAGACTGAAGAAAATGGAAAGTGAAAACAGTAGGTGAGTTGGATTCTTGGTTAATAGTGTTTCTTTAGAATTGTAGTGAAATGGAATATGCCGTCTCACTTAACCCACTTCAGCAGATCTCTTTGGCTTCAGGTTGGAAGACTCGACTTCTTGAGTGTTGATACTACTGTGCAAAGTGTTGACAACTACTGATACAGTTGCGCACCTTCTTAACAAAACTGTTTCATACTGGAGATTGATTGTCTGAAGCACGTTACTTTCATATCACTTTCACATATTGCAGCTCTGTTTATTTTAAAACAACATGAACCTAAAACAAACGCAAGATACTTGCTGACTTTCTCTACCTCTTTTGTTCCTCTATATAGATACGAGGTTGAACTAGAAGGTCTCAAAGATGAGTATGCAAAAACCCTTGAAGATGCAAAGAAAGAAAAGGTATTGTCTATTTCAGCTTTAAGCTATGTTATCACTGCAGTCTGAGCTGTCAGGAAGTTAACAAATTATATTTGTTTCTGTAGATGCTCTTAGCCACTCAGTTAGAAATGGAGAAAATGAAAGTCGAACAGGAAAGAAAGAAGGCAGTTTTTGTGCAAGAAGCAGCAAAGGAGAAGGTACCAAAATCTGACACTTCTGTTGAATCTTATAGGGTCTATTGTGATTCTAGTAGGTTCCTAGAACCTGACGCTGTTGCAAGCCACAAAACGGACTTGGAACAATGCAGTATATACCTGTATATAACCTAAGTGTTTGGCTTTGGGATTTGGCTTTTTCTTTACTGTGACTGCCTTTTAGTTCCAATTAAATCAGTGCCTGTGTGAAATTCTCTGAAATGAGTCTTGAGTAATGTTCTCTCTATTTAACCTGCAAAGAGTTAAAACATGGATAATGATTGTTTCAGTCTTCTGGTTTGTGAATGTTCAGGGACTCTGGTTTTTCTTCTGAAGCTACTTGCCATCTTTCATCAGAGTATTGGCACTGCCTCACCTGAATTCCTGTTTTGCGTTTTACTTGACTGTATGTGTAACATAACGATGTGCTTTTCAGCTGAAGTCACAAAACAGCCCTCAATAGTCAGTAACTTTGTAACTGCTAATTAGCAGTTGATATTCAAATGTAAAAGAGGTCAGTCTGCTTGGAAAATAGGCTAGTAAAACATGAGAAATCTCAAAGGGAAGGACATTGTCTCTTACTTCACCATCTACAGTAAACTTTTTTCTTTACCTCTTTAACTGGTGTTATTTTTCTTGAAGGATCGGAAGTCATTTACAGTTGAAACTGTTTCAAGTACTCCAACTATGTCACGCTCTAGTTCCATAAGTGGAGTTGACATGGCAGGTCTTCAGACATCTTTTCTCTCACAGGTATCATATATCAGTTTTCAGCTTTTTTTGATAGGCTTTTTTTTTTTTTTTTTGCTTCTCAAGAAACTTTCGTCAGTTAGAAAATGAAACCCTTTCAAGAGCATATTTGTCTTAGACTAGTTAATTCCTGTACAGAGACATCCAAAACTTGCAGGATGTCTATGATTATAGAGCATCTGTGAAAGAGAGCACGAACCTACAGTTTTTACTACGTAAGTGCTAAATTCAATTTCAGCTAGTGGAATTAAATAACAATGATAGGTCAGAGGGAGTCAAATCAGCTTGATTTATTTTTACCAGCAGTCGTGGTTTGGAGCACCCCCCCCTGCTCACTAGGCAATGTCACTGACTGTTGTGGTTTGTGCAAAGTCTTTTGCTGCTTCCCTATAGATAGGGTTAGCAGTGTCCAAGCTAAGTGGTAGTTGTGTATTGACGTGATAACTTGTCAGTAAGGAGTTACCTGAGATTGTTCCTATTTATCTTAAGCTTTTGTTTTAAAAACAAACTTTAAGCATTGAAATACTTGCCTAGTAATACTCTTAACTTTAAATTTTAAATAAAATACCTTAGGAGAGGGAGGATTCCAAAGTGTTTTTTTGATCTAATCTTAAGGTTCTCTGTTCTTTTGCTTATAGGATGATCCTCATGATCACTCATTTGGGCCAGTATCTACTAGTGGGAACAATCTTTATGATGCTATAAGGATGGGAGCAGGTTCAAGTATAATTGAAAACCTTCAGTCACAGTTAAAACTAAGAGAGGGAGAGATTTCACATCTACAGGTACTGTAGTCACTCAGATATAACTGAATGCAGCACTTGTAAGTGGAGTGATTAATGCAATTAGTTTTTTTGTTTGTTTGTTCAGAAAGCTTGGTCCCTGTTCTTCACAGCACTGTGCATTCACTCTTCCCCTTCCATGGCAGTTCTGTTAATCAAAATAGCCACTGGAGTAGCTCTGTGTAGGGATGAGCAAATTTGCTTGCCTGTCTGAAAAACACCGATCAGAATTGAGAAGAAAGAGGATACTTAAAGCCTTTAAGTACTGTATCAAAATATGTTGATCCTTAGGTTACAAATATGGTAAGTTCTTTCCTACTCCTGATTGTTAAATGTGTTTACCTTAGCTGGAAATTGGAAACCTTGAAAAAACACGATCAATAATGGCAGAAGAACTTGTTAAATTAACAAATCAAAATGACGAACTTGAAGAGAAAGTGAAGGAAATACCAAAATTACGTGCACAGTTAAAGGTAAGTTTATTTGTACTGTAAATCTGATGTAAAATGGACATGTTTGTTTAATATCACCTCTGTCAATTTAGGATTATATTGAAATGTGTTCCTAATCAAATAAATGGCTAAACGTCCTGGTTTTTTAATATACATAATAGAATATGATGATGCCTACTCTATGACTAGGTAGTCACTTCAAAATACAGAAATATGCACTATACATAGGATTGCACACTAAATCAGGGAGAACGTGTATTTTGATGTTTGTTTCGTTTGCGGTCTGGAAGGCTTGTCTCTGGTGAAGTGGATGTTCTGATTAAACATAATGGATTTATGAAAGCTCACAGAAGCTGAGTGAGTGCACAATTGCAATACAGCTAATAGGACAAATATATTTTAATCCTCTGAACGCTTAACTTACAAAAGAAATACTGGAAATACTTTTGGAAATTATCATTGTCCTGTAAGTGCAGGATGTTAAACTTCCAAGTGAAACATTTCACCAACTGCGTTTCTTCCTGTAATAAAACTGAGTGCAGTTTGCTAAAATGTTTCTTAATGGCTGTAGCAGGTGGATTTCAGGGCACTGAAGTCACTAGGTCTTCTGGAGCCAGCACTAGTTTAGTCAAGAACCTTTGCCTTTGGAGTTTCTTCCTCTTACAGCTAGAGCATAAATTCAGCCATATTCAGTGAGTCAAGGCATAAAGTCTTTCTAGCGTTTGTGTGTGTTCTTATGGAACAGTTATACTTGGATGAAATAATGCTGTGCTTATTTTCCTTAGTGATATAATACACTGTCCTAGCCCACACCTTTTTTAAAATTGAAGACAACAGCCCAATAACAAACTGCATGTTGTTGCAGGATTTGGATCAAAGATACAATACAATTCTTCAGATGTATGGAGAGAAAGCAGAGGAGGCTGAAGAACTCCGACTAGATCTTGAAGATGTGAAAAACATGTACAAGACTCAGATAGATGAACTTCTAAAACAAAGACAAAATTAACTCCTGATGGAACTCTAACATTATTATATGATAAATTGTAAAGATAGTTGTTTATGTAAATGCTCAATTTAAATGTCTTGTAAAAATAATAATTGTATTATAGAAAGTGTGACTATATTATAGAGTTCATATGTTGACAAAAATCAATGCTTTAACAGTGTCTTGTACTGTCTGCAGTTAAATTATTTGTGCAATATTTAAGACTTTTTTTAAAATCATCCCTTTATTTAAGTTCTTACTAAACAGCGGACCATTTTACTTGTAAACAGCAGCAGACTGGATGGTTGAATGTTACCTCACATGAGGGGAAGGCACTGGAAGGCATGATTTTTACTAAAGCAGCCCTTGATTCATAAACTCTTTATTCCTGAAAACGACATTAGAAGTCTTTTTTAAATATTCGGAATGTGTTTTTTCTAAAATCTCATCAAATAGTTTTTAATAACAGAAAATAGCAGTAGCTTTCTGTCTAAAGCCTAAATAGTAGATATTTTTATCAAGGGAAAAATCTCAGATTTGTACTTTCACGTTCTGAACACGTTTGGACGATGATTCTCTATTCTTACACACTTGGTGTAAAACAGCCATTATACTAATCTAAGTCCTCCAAAGCAGAGTTTGAGACTCAAGGCTGAAACCTTACAGTTACTGCTTCATCTGTAGTTACTGCTTGTGCTATGTCTCATGAGCTGTCTAGAAACAGCAGGTCTGCTTGTAACTCTAAATGCGTTTAACTTTTAACACCAGAAATCTGGACTATTCAGTGTTTGTTCTATGGTTTGATGCTGATTTTTAAACAGAAGTTGAAAAGAATGCAGAAAAATACAAATTTTTTCAAATTAAGTAATTACTGCTACTCTCATGTAATTGCTCCTTGTATATAGAGAACAAGATGTAGATTTTTGAAAAACTGTACTGTGACTTAATATAGTTCTCAAGCTGGTCTCCAGTGGCTGCAAAGTATTTCTCATGCCATTCCTAAAGTGAGGTATTGGTCAAATAGCATCCACATAGCTTGACATTTAGCTACATTTTGGGTCATGTCAGAGGAAACTTTTGAATGGGACCCTTGGGAATGCTGAGAATTGGAGGAAGCAGCTTGCTGCTTCCTCTCTGCATTCCAGACAGCAAATATTTCGCTACATCTCAGAATTTTAGCAGTGGTAGGCATTCGTGTGAAATACTCTGCAGTTAAAATTCTTTGCTCATCATACCCTTAGACGTCTCTGTTGAGAGAAGTTCCTTTTGCATCTGTGTGCATTGTAGTTTGTGTTAGAGCACTCTGTTCCTGCTTGTGTGTTCAGCGAACTGAAAGAGACAAAAGAATGTGAATGTGGAGAAATTGCTTCTGGAGAAGAGCCTAAGGAGTACAATGTTTCTGCATACATTAGGGATTTATTTCTGCTTGCGAGAACCATTAGTCTCTGGAGTTTCATAGGCAGGGGAACCTCTGTGGAAAAGTCTAGTCCAGTTTGAGATTCAGACTGACATTCTGAGGATTTCAGTGAAGCAATAGAGTAAGAACACTAAAAATAGTCTTACTTCCAGTCTGTAATAGAAATTTTAACTGCTTTACTAAAATACAGGACTCGTCTTCTCCCCCCCCTGCTGAGGTGGCAAAGAATCTTAATATCTTAGTTTCATTTTTGGAAACCAAGGTGAAACTATTTTTTCTCTCAAAGACCAAAAATTAATGCTTTACTTTCATATTTCAGTTTGCTTGGTTGCTGTGAGTTTAAAATACACACACACACACACGTTCCACTTGTTGGAACTTACTGATTTGCTCTGTGTTAAATTGGTCAAAATTACGATGTCCAACTGTTAGAAATTCAGCCATTTTTAATAAACCAAATTTTTAGAAAGGTTAGATTTTTAGGGTACCAAATAGTAATTTGATCCAGCAGTTTTCTATTGCACTGAATCAATAAATTGTGAAGACACTGGGCGTTTTTTTGTGTGTGGGTTTGGTTTTTTGTTTTGTTGGTTTGTCTTTCTTTTTTTTTAATGCAGTCTTGAGAAACAAATGGAGGATTTTTTTCAAAAAATTAAGGATATAACTTTTATTTAAATGTATTACTGCCAATAGTTTCTGAAGATAATGTTTCATGTGTAATGTGTGAGTAGATACTTTTTTAAGGACGGATGCAGGTGCAGTTTTGGATTTCTGCAAATACGTGTCAGGCTATCTTTGATTTCCAGGAAGAGCTTAGGTAAATGAGAAACTTTAACATGCCCTCAGCATTAACTGTTTTAGATATAAAAGCACTTGTCAAATATATTAGATTTTTAAATTTTACAAAAGTAGATGTAAATATTTAAATTGACTTGACTATTTTTGGATTCTTTATCCCCTTTCAGTACAACCTTTTACTAGCACATCAGAATCAAGTGGCTTACTGCATCTTAATCATCAAAGCCTTAGAAAACAAAGTAGCTGCTGGAAAGTAGCCTAGTGTTCTAAGTGTTCTCTGTTTTGATTATCTTTGATTATAATTTTGGCATGCTTGTTTTGAAGAAACATTAACATTAATGTCTGCCAGGACACCTTAAGTTCTTTGCTATTACTGAAATTGCCTAGAAAAGTAACATGTGCAGAAGGAAGTCAGAGACTGATGCCCGCTTCCATTTAGATTTATTATTTTAAAATACCTTGTTCAAGCAGCTAATTTATACCTCGTTTTCACTTCATAGGCAAGCATAAAGAAATTTTATTTAAAGGCTTACTCAAAATATGCTGCTTAAATGGGGCTTATCCCCCAGTCTGGGGAAGACGGTGGAAACGCTTCCACTGGTGGGTTGATGGGTGTTGGGTGCGGCTTGAGTGGAGGTTGACTGCTTGCACGCTCGCTCTGGGCATCGGGCTGCCTCCTTTATGAACAAAGGAGCAAATGTTCAAAATCCTGTATATCTGCACACGAAAGGAATATTTTTATTAATCTTTTTGTCCTGTTAGAAGACAAGTTCGTTACAATTTGTGTAAGTATGTTTTGCTAAGGGCTTTAATGATCTTGAATATGAAACAAAATTGATTATTGCACGGTGAAAATGGACCTGTTAGTTTCTAGTTGTAAAATGTGTATAAATGTGTATAAACTGTATAAACCATGGGTTAGGGTAAAATAAACTTTTATGCTAACAGTGTGCTCTGGTTCTCTTTGACACAGGTTTTAAGATAATTCGAGGGTTTTTTTTTTGGGGGGGGGGAGGATGTATGAACCTACCACTATGAATTTAAAAAAATATATATATATTACTTGGGGTGGGAAGGGCTGTCGGATATATCGGTATACCTCAAATTTAACTAGAGTTGCGGTAGTCTGGTGGCGGTGTGGGTACTTAGGTACGAAAGCTTGGCTTATTCCTAAATTCACTACAGTAATGGGATTAAAGCTAATGTGAAATTTAGACTTAATTTCCTTTACTTGCGTAAAACAGCAACGCGTCTGATATCCTCTGCCGCGAATCCCTGTCGCGGGAGGAAAGATCGTTCAGCAGTTCGTGTCTCGGTGGGGTCAAGCCCTTGTTGTCCCCCAGCTCTCCTGGCCCGTCTCTTCGGTTTGTCCCCGAAGCCTCCCCCCCGCTTCTCCAGCTGCCAG